ACTTTAAAGTTTTCTAACTGGCGAATGACATGATCTAGTGAGTCTGTCATCTTTAATGTGCGCGTTCGTGATTTTAAGGAGGCGTGGCTTTGGACAGCAGGGGAGGGATTGTATTTGAAATATTATGCTAACCAGTTAGCATTTTGACAGATCACCTCCTGCAGCTTTAACTGATGTCACACTAAAGCTCCGATCTGTCAGAAGTCAAACTATGGCACTTAAATATGGTCAGTAGTAAAGTAGAACTTATTGTGGTATTTTCAGTATTTTTTGTTAGTATGATTTGGGGGGGCTCAAAAAAATTAGCCAATGTTGTTCTTGAAAGTACCTTTTTGACCTTTGAAAAAGTACATAGTTAATGGCATAAAGACACACTGAAGGGGAGGTTTTCACTCATCAAAACAACTGATTATATAAAAGACAGCAAACATCCCCTGAAAGGTCATTCAGGGTGACGATAACAGTTTAAATATCTAAAAAAATATTATTCCTTCATTTTCTTTTCGGCTTAGTCCCTTTATTATTAAATGCCACAGCCGAATTAACCTGCCAACTTATCCAGCACAATTTTACGGCCGCAACCCATCTCTGGGAAACATCCACACACTCATACACTACGGAAAACTTAGCCTACCCAATTCACCTGTACCGCATGTCTTTGGACTTGTGGGGGACACCGGAGCACCCGGAGGAAAACCCACGCGAATGCAGGGAGAACATGCAAACTCCACACAGAAACGCCAACTGACCCAGCTGAGGCTCGAACCAGTGACCTTCCTGCTGTGACGCAACGGCACTACCTACTGCGTCACCTAAAAATATAATATGTATGGTAAATTTATATCCTAAATAGAGGGTCTCATCACTACAATTTATTTGTGTCTTTTTATTTTTGACAACCAAAGAGTGCTTAAACAGTCGGAAGTCTAAAAAGGGAGAGAAACTTGCTATGCTTGCTTAGCATGGCACAAGGTCCATTAGACCTTGTTTTATTGGATTTGGCAACCAAAGTATTGAGTCCTTAAAGAGATAGTTCACTTCATGTATTTCTACACGTTTATTCATACGTTTGCATTACTGAGAGCAGGAGAGAGACAGGCTGCACTAGTAAGCAGTAACGTTATCTTCATAATATTGTTTAATTAAAATAAATGATTAACAAATGGATCTGTCTCGACAGCCTTTACAAGTGAAGGAATTATCTACACACAATCTGAATACTCATGAAAATCCCTAAATAACTAATCCAAATGCCCAACACAAGCGAGCTGCGCTCCAGACCAGATCAGCTCGATGACGTATAATGTCTCCGACACCGCCTGTAGTCCCATTTAGCAACTTGATAGCAACCGTCTTTTTAAAGAAGCGTAACCGATTAAAAAATTCAAGAGTGTGCTGTAACTGATGTGTTTTATGTCGTAGAACAAAACGTGAAAGTATTTTGAGTTTGTGTTAGCCATGAACCTTATTTAAGCGATTTTTACCGAAACCCCATCGAGAAAACCCATTGACTTTGGGACGAGGGAACCGGAACTGCTAAAATTCGAACTCGCTTCCGGGTTTTTGCGTACAAATTGACGTCATAGTTCCTCCACTCAATTAGGAGTAGGCTAGCCTCAACAAGACTGACTGCTCATTTAGTCTACATCTAGGCCTATTAAACTATGTGCTTTAGCATGGGCCAACGAACTGCAGTACAGACACCAATTCTCACTTAAGCTCATTTCAGGTTATGATTAGACCTGTCCAGTTTCATCTGGAATGCATCCCAGATGACCTTCTGAAGTGGTTTGAGCGATCGGATATCTGATCAGAACAAAAAGACGAATGAAGTGAGCAAACAGCCTCAAAAGACACAGACGTGACAGGAATATATATTGAATATAGATATATTGTACTAATTATTTGATAAATATTTAATATTAAATTACATAAAATAATTAAAAGGACAAATGCTGGACCTTTTGGCAACACTTTGTCAGTTTAGGTCACAATTCACAGTATTAACAAACAATTAAACTAACACTACTAGCTTAATAAACTAATGAGCTGTTTATTAATGATTAGTAAGATACAAATTGGGTTTATGTTTAGGTTAGGGTTAGGCATGCCCCCCACCCCGGCTACGGGCATGATGTAGTGGAGTAGCAAGTAACTTGCTATTAGGTTATGTGACCGCTAGGGGGCGATCTTGGATAATAAGAAGCTTACCACCACTAGGAGTTTGTCAGAGTCATCGGTCAGAGCAGTGTGTTGTTGTTCTAGCCGGGTTCACTTTCTGTTCTAATGTCCCGCATCTGTCTTTAATTATATTCATCTGTCTCCCTATTCTACTGCATCCCAGAATAATACACAGCACCAAAAAATGTAAAAAAATATATTCAGTATATTTAACATGTTTTTGTCCACAACCGACCGCAACTCGCCGTCACGCCGTGACGGAGATTCCCGAGCCTGTTTGCTCCAATGGGAGGTGTGCTCTCTTCAGCGCTCACCATGACAACGAGACTCCCAGCGGTGACGTCGCCATGTAAACATTTGCATATGCATTCCTATAAAGCTCGGCGGTTCTCGCTCGGTGTTGCCAGTTCTCTCGGCGTTGCTCCTTGTACTTGACCAAGGTAAGTTCAAAATAAAACTTCTCTTTCTGAACACCTGTCTCGTGTTTCATTTGTCATGTACAGCAATGCACTGTCATATAGGTCGGTTGTATGCATTTGTACGCAACGTGGTTTGACAATAAAGTAGTTAATAATAAACTTGATTCAGCATGTTTTTGGGGTGTTTTTGTCGATCGCGCACGCTCGTGCTCTTTCTCTCGTGAATGTGCAGCACGTCTATGCTCAAACAGCGGTCGCAGAGCTGCGTTCAAACGGCTGCACAGTTGTTCAAATCTGCATTTGCTGACAGAAAGTTCGGGCTACTTATCGGAATTATGAGAGATGTCGGCCTGAATCTATTTAATTGGATGAACTTTTTTTTTTTAGTTTTATGCCTCAACCAAAATATAAAAATACATATAAATACATTTAGATCATACTTTATCATTAGACTGTGAAGAGACTTTCAACCAGCACAACAAAAAATGCTTCTGAAGACGATCACCTAGTACTGCACCTTTAATATAAGTAGTTTGAATAAGCAGCCAAAATCATTCTTTTGAGTGTGACAATGTTTAATCAAATCATTTTGTTTCACAGTAAAAAAAAAGCCATAAATTATTGTTTAATTATAGTTGTACTTTAATGATGATAGGACAGTCAAGTTAAAATGCTTATTTTGCGCTGACACAATACAATTTAATTGAAAGTGAATTTCAGAAGCCAAGTCATAAAAAATTTCCAAATTTTTCTGGTTCTAGTGAGAGGTGGACAGCACCGGATGTCTCTCTGGGCTGCTTTGATGTCCATTACAGGGCTGAGGCTTAATGAAAAAATAATGATATGTCACATATCTCCTTTTAAAACCACTGGATGGACCCTCAAAAGCAAAATTCTCCTGAGTGAGTCATAAGGAACATTTCTTAGCCTGAGTGAGCTCTTCCTTTCTGAATGGGGTGGCTGGCGAAACCTGAAAGATTATCTGCAGTTAGATGTGATTATGCCTCAGATGCAATCAACTTAGTGTCTGAACACTGAAATAATCATTTAAAAACAGCTCATGAGAGTAAGATGAGGATGCTGCCTGAGGTCTCTCAAGGTCACTCTGGGGTCCACCACAAGAGCCGAGGCTCAGTGAAGACATGAGAATGTCCCAAAACTTCTTATAAACCTCTCTGGATGGACCCTCAAAAGTGTCGGACGTTCCCACACTTTCTATATTTTCCCTTTAGCCGAGCCTGACACTTACTTATTGCAGTACTAAGAAAACTTCTGTCTTGAGTTCAGATGATTTTTAGGGGATGGAAAGGTGTGCACTAAGGCCATTTCTGAGCTCAAAGCCCTTCCTCAGATAGCATGCCAAACTCACATTATCATTCTGTACTTCATCTAAATTTTATGTATGTGCAAATTCAGGGAATAAAATAATACAAAACGTTAGGATGCTTAAGAATTAAACTGTGTCTTAAAAACTTTGAAGTTCATGAATGTGCAATGAATGGTTGCACAAACAGAGGCATATTTGTTAATGCAAATGTTTTGTAGTGTGCTAGCATGTGCCATAAAGCGAGCTCTGCATTTGTGGATTAATGTGGATCAACATGTTTGCATTCATTTATAGCCCCCCCCCCCCCCCCCTTACTATTTTAGAATTCATTAATCTCACAAGTGCATGTTACTATCAAAATAACAAACTGTGTTTCAACTTGTGTCTGTAAAACAATTAAATGAATGTTTAACATTTTGTTCAAAACAGCAACACCAAAACTGAACACATAACTTCAACTCTTCCAAGTGTGGAGTAAATGTTGATGATATATTGCATATTCCACATGGACAAACAATATTGCATGTTTGGAATATTGAATATTTTGAATATTGGAATATATGAGGTTTATAGATTTGATGATATTTAGAGTCTCTAAATATGTCTCTCTGATTATGTGTTCAGAATAACTGATAAAAGTGAGATCAAAGCTGAATATGAATGGACATATTTACAATTGTGAAGTAGGATCTTAAACCTGTGTCACCACGTGTTGCCAGTATCCTCCACGAGCAGGAAACAGAAATGAAAGATATACAAATTTGTTACATGTAGTCTATGCTATACGCTAGCAAATATCTTGTAGTTTGAGTCTTGATTCTAAAAACCTAGCTCCTAAATTGTAATTAAACCGAACACATTGTTAAATATAAAATAAAGAATCATGAGATTGAATATATAATTCTATTGAAGTTGAGAACTTGCCGTAAATTCAAAACTTAGCACGACTCTTAAATCACTGACTGAAAAATCAGACCGTAAACAAACGGTGCTGGCCTGGCAGAGCCCTCTTGTGGTCATGTGGAGCATTGACATTTTGTGTTTTGAGTGATTCAAAATAAATGGGCACAAACACAAGATAAGAAAACTTCTATTTCTGACAAAGACAAAAATAAAGACAAAATAAACATGTAGATATTTACTATATACAGACTGAATAAAACCAAAGCCTTCTGGTTGGAGTTCTCAAAACTCCTTAAAAGGAATGTACAACTCAAAACACATTATGAATTTCAAAGGCATCTGATGGAGTCTGCAATACAATTTCAATCCATCAGTGTCTTAATTACCATACAGTACTCATTTATAGGCATTCTTAGAGGCAATACAAACGCTTGAAAATGCTTAGAGAACATGCTTAAATTAATTTAACATAAGTTTGGAATACCTATTTCCATTGTTTCAGTTAATATCCATTTTAGATTAATTGTTGATTTTTATAGTGATCTACATCTAATGTCAAGGAACATGACTTGGCAATATGTTTTGCAACTTCAATAAGCATGAATGAGTAAACCTGAAGCACTAAAGTACAGATTCTAAGCAGCTGTTTACAAAAAAAAAGTTGGCGTCAGCTATAGATAGGACTTTTCGAAAGTAAATTTGACATTTGAATCATTTGTTACAACTGCAAAATCTTAAAATTGCTAAATTACAATAACCCTAAAAAGCTAAATATACAAAATGCTCCAACAAATTCAAAAACAAGTACAAATACCAAATGTACAGAAAGTTAGAAACAACCGCAAAAATATTGTTCATTCTTATTAAAGGCCATGTTTAATATTGCCATCAGCATTTCAATATAGGAAGCTAAGTTACGAAGACACTGCAGATGTTTCAATAAGACTGTGCCAAATCATTCGAACTGCTGCATATCCCATTCAACTATGTAAAGGTGTTTTCTATCAAAATAATAAATACTGTGTTGTGGACACTGCGAAATTGGCATCTTACCATTAAGCTGGTTTAAACGAACAAATCACATCACAAACAGAGCCTATATTTGACCATGAACATTACCACAGACTATAGGAGTATTACTCTGCACCTTCTTATCAGAACAAGATAGCTACTGTATTATTTACTAGGGGACGGTGTGTGATATTAACAAATAATTACAATGTTCTGTAAAGCCATAATATTTTAAAGGGATAGTTCAACCAAAATGGAAAAGTATCTGTTAGTTTATGTCATCCATAATGTAGGTAAAACTTTCTTTACATTTTTAATTGAAATTGGAGATTCATAACATGTAGTTCAATGGAGCTTTTAGAGTCCAAAAACATAAAGGCAACACCAAAATGAATACTTACAGCTACTGAATATAAATGTATATATAATGAGGTAAAACAACTGATCTGTTTGAGAAGCTGAATGCTATGTACAATATTATTTCCTATTATCCACAGTCTCAGCAAATGGTCCTGAGTGCAAGAACCCTGATGTGTAAAGATGTAGGCAAGGGGTGTCAATTCTAAGTTCCTGAAGAGCCGCAGCCCAGCACAGTTTAGTTCCAACCCAGCTCCAACACACTTAAGCTGCAGTCACACTGGACTTTTCTCCCCATTGACTTCCATTCATAGGCATGCGAATGTGTCAGACCGGAAACGCAAGCTTATGCGACAAGTTTTGCAATTCGCTAATTTGCAAAGTTCAAGCTTGGTGAACTCTGACCTGCGAAATCGCATCACTTGACAGCGTGAGACCAATCAAGGATCAAAACATGACCTCTCTGAAATTTAAAATATAGACCAATCACTTGCTTTTTTACATGTCTAATCATCTTGTGTAATCCCACCCCTTTACGCAGCGCTGTACTCAAGAATTTCTCTAGTGAGACCGCAACCTTACCTGTAGGTTTCAAACAAGCCTGAAGGATTAGGAACTAAGGACTTGGAACTAAACTGTGCTGAGCTGAGGATCTCCAGAAACTGAGTAAGACACAAACTCCAGCGAGAGAGTACGCTATTTGTTTACAGTTTTTTTAAGCACAAACACCATAACAATACAACACACTCATCTTCAACCTTTATTGTAAACAGCCTGTATATAATTTGATTTGCCTATATGTTTTATCGTATTATTATTATTATTATTATTATTACAAGTTTGGACTCTTAAAGTGCCATTTGACTTGCAATTTTAAATCACCAAGCCTCAAGTTTCTTTTTAAAGTCTGTGTGAAATCTAAATTGACATTGTTCATTTAGCTAGCACACATTGACCACATTTACATGAACATCAGTAATCAAATTATTTGCCTTAATCTGATTAAGACAATAATTTGATTAAGGTGTTTAAGTTTTTAACTTTAACTTTTTGAACGTTTGTTCCATGATCCCGTTTTACATGTTATAGCAAATAATTTGATTAACGTCATCGATATCCACGTTTCCTCTGAAGTTTCATGTAATTTCAGGCATTTGTTATTTTATTTATTTTTTTGCTTTTACTGCAGTTTTACTTCCATTCAGGAACATTTCATTCATGGCCCCACCCCACGTGACAAACTGAAGTATTAAATGCACGGACTGCTGGAAGAGTGTTGTTTTAACAGAATCTGATACCACACGCCGAATGGAAAGAAAAAAAAAAAACTCTTGTGGTCCTTCACGGACTCGGTAAGTGCAGTGTCAAACAGCCGTGTGTGTTTGGAATATCCTGCCGCATATTGCAATGAAAAGTCCTACATGTTTGCATGTCTGTGCTGCACTTCAATAATGCCGTTAAAATCTGCAGAGTATTGTCTTAATCGTATTAAAATCAGATTATTGGTGTCTATGTAAACGTACTCACTGATATTCTTTAGGTGAACAATTAATTGGTTCAAGTTAAGTTAATCTTCAATCAAAGTCTGACCATTTGATTCTGCATTTGGGGTGGTGCTCCTTCTCTATTGCATTCCTAACCACGCCCCTCTTACCATTAATTTGCAAGTAGGACATGTCGCAAAAATAAAGAAAGCCCCGCCCCCTATTTAATATTGTATTTCAGTTGGAAATACAATAACATACTGAAATAAAAATATCAGACTTTAATATTTTACTAATAGTCCATTTGAATGGCAAATTTACAACAAGTTTTAATCTTTTTGGCAAACTATCCCTTTAACTAATACCTGATTTTGAATCACTGAAGTAATAATCTGTTATGTTGCAGAGCGTGGTTCAAAATGAATCATTATATTAAAACGAAGAAACTGCAAATACATAAGTGGTGTCGTGGTGCTATGTGATGGTTCTGCACAAGCCACATCCAACCCAGAGAGTGTGGGGGAAAGTCAGAAGGCAGGTGTTCGAAAAACAATTGGCTATATGTGGAGTTGTGTATGAAGCAGTGAGCCAGCTCACTTTTGTTACGAAGACTTCGTCTTTCCAGCGGTGATGTTTGTCCCAAACTGAATCCAGCCAGAGCAGCTGAAAAATCAAATATTAAAATACTTCAATAATGCTTTCCCATGGGAACACTGCACGGAAGTTAGAGGCCGTTCACACAGAATGTGTTTTTGCTTTTAAAACCATTTGATGTGGCGCTCAAGAATGGGTTTAAAAAACAGAGTGATGTCCAAGTGATGTGATATTATGAACGTGATCTAATAACGACAATAACGGACCCATTAGTATCAGAAAAACAATATGTTATGGTAAGCACATGCAGATTCATCATATAACAGGACATTCTAGACAGCCACAATGAAAGCCTCATCCGCCATGATATAACTGTAAATTTATAGAGTTGTCATGCCAACTTTCTACTATAAACAGAAGCTTTTAACAGTTGCCCCGCCTCCAATCTCTTCTGATTGGTCCACTGCTTTGGACCTGACACTAATAAGCTGCTCTGCTTGTGAAAGTAAAAGATCTTTGAAATTGACACTGCATCTAAAAAACGCTTCAAAAAACATGTGGTGCAAGCGTAACGGTCTAACACGTCTCTCCATCATGTGTTTACATTGAAAAATAATAGAGAAGCACATTGGAAAGGAAGAATGCATTCTGTGTGAACGACCCCTTTGTCTGCAGCTTAAAATGTCTCTGACTTGGGCAGATTTTGGCGGGAATCTGGAGGAAGCTGAAGTAGTGGGTCTGAATGGACTGTTGGAATTTGTTTGGCAGGTAACTGTGATTGATCACAGGATGTAGAGTGGTGTCTTTCTGAAAGCTTGTCCATATTTTGAATTTCAGGATGTTCCACATCTCCATTTTCAGAACTGGAAATACCAAAAGGCTTCATAGAAATGGACTGGAAGTTGTCTGAGGCTAAATCACCCTCCACACTGCCCTCTGCTGTCTCTGAAGTGTCCTGTTCAATGTTCTGAGTTGTTTCTAAAGGCTTTGCATCAGGTGATCCTTCATCCACATTTGGATTTGGAGGAGAATCGTACAGTTCAGGCTGATCTTGGGTCTCTGGGACAGGAGGTTCGTATGGAGGAGGCCACTCTCCGCCATCCTCAGGGGCTCCTATCATCCCGTCAGGTGTGAGGGGAATCTGGCTGTGCACTAGAACGGGGTCTGGTGAGGGGAGCGGTGACATGCTGCCCGTCCCTCCATCTTTGTAAGGCTTCTTGTCCTGTGGAGGGCTGTCGTCCAGCATGATAGACTCCTGCTGGAGGGAGATGTGCAGAGAGGCTGGTGGCCGTTTGATGAGTAGGGTTTTGTTGGGTGTCTCCTCTGAAGGACTTGGTTTGGGCCTTTTCACCAGAGTCAAAACTACGGGCAGCTCCAGACCAAGAGGCTTCCGTGGAAACTCATCAGGCTTTGCTGTGAACACAGAAATAAACTACGGTTATAAGCTGGTCCCAAATGGCACACTTTGCACTCATGCATTATGTACTTATGCACGTACACACTCAACAGCATAGTATATGTATGTATTGTCGACCCATATGGAACACTAATGTTTTTTTATTACTAAGCCGAAATTTAAACCGTTTTTCTGATGACGTCTGACGGCTGCCATAATAGTGAAATAAATGACCAAACTATAAAATAATACCTGCCATGAATATCACCACATTCACCATCAGGAGGGGCTGTTATCACTCTCGTAGGATAATTTTGCTTTCACAATCCAAAATAAAACAAAGTAAGTGCCTGAAAGCTCCACCTCTTCCGCTACATGAGCAAAGCAGCAGCCGTTGAGTGCGTGAAGTGTCTAACATTAAACATTTCATTTTAACTATTGAATGAGAGCATCATCCGGGTAATTAAAGCACACTTATTATTTTTAGAGTTTTCAGTGTGAACGCACTGCTTACACTATTTAAACTACAAAATGCTTCTGGGTCCAAGTGCTAATAATGGTAATAATAAATGTTTACAAAGCGATGTAATACTTACGAAAATCACGACTGCAATATATATATATATATATATAAATATAGTTGAAGTCAGAATTATTACCCCGGTTTATTTTTCCCCAATTTCTGTTTAACGGAGAGAAGATTTTTTTCAACACATTTCTAAACACAATAGTTTTAATAACTCATTTCTACTAACTGATTTATTTGATCTTTGCCATGATGACAGTAAATAATATTTGACCATATGTTTTTTAAGACACTTCTACAGCTTAAAGTGACACATAAAGGCTTAACTAGGTTAATTAGGTTAACTAGGCAGGTTAGGGTAATTAGGCAAGTTATTGTTTAATGATGGTTTGTTCTGTAGATCATCGAAAAAAATATAGCATAAAGAGGCTAATGATATTGACCTTAAAATGGTGTTTAAAAAATAAAAAAACTGCTTTTATTCTAGCTGAAATTAAACAGACAAAACTTTCTCCAGAAGAAAAAATTATTATCAGACATACAGTGAAAATTCCTTGCTCTGTTAAACATAATTTGGGATATATTAAAAAAATAAAAATAAGGGGGGCTAATAATTCTGACTTCAGACTGTTTTGTACACCATGATTTTATTTAAAATCCACTTTAACGTGTGATTTGACTAAAAAAGGGGTCATAAACAAATATTTTCTTAATTTAAATGAGTAGCGTGGACAGTATTCCAGACGTCACTAATACGTCACAACTTAACAAGCGGATAGTTTTGAGTGTTAATAAATTGCATTTAGCCAACACATGCTAAATGAATGATGTTGTTTTTGTTAATGCTATCGTATGATATAATTATGTCATTTACTTACTCTTTAGCACAAAATAAGATTTTATTTTATTTTTTAAGAAATCTGGAATGAGAAACCTGAGAAACTTACATAGTATGCTTTTCCTGCTATACATATCAATGGTTACAGGTTTTCAGCTTTCTTCAAAATATCTTCTTTAGTGTTCAATAGAAGAAAGAAACTCAGAGGTTTGGAACCACCTGAGGTAGTGTAAATAGTGAGTCTTTTTTTTATTGTTGCATGAGCTATTCCTTTTATTTGACACAACAGTTATAACTAATTCAAGTAAACTATGATACAGAGAGACAATCAAATGTTAAAAATACAATTAGGGACCCCCTTGAAAATTAGATGGTTCGTCACAAGGGAATATCCCATTTAATAAAAAAATTCAAATTCAATTCATGCAGTAAGATATCATGTCAAAAAAATAGCTGAACCTGGTGGAGGGACGTCAAGCTTCATTTTGCGAAGTTCAGACATGGACACTTTAAGCTGCTCTATGACCAGGTCATCATTGAGGTAGATGGACTCTCCTATCTTCTCCTGCAGGAACTCTCTCAGCTCCTCCAGAGACATCTTGAGCAAGCGTTCTGGACATGAGTGGCTAAAGTTAGACATTTCTCAACAAAGACTTAAAATGGTTAACAATACAGAATAAAACATGAATGAGTTTTGGGTGAACAGACTTTTAATAGAGGCAGAAAAATTCACAAGATGAGCAGAAGTCAACAAATGACTACATTTTCATTTTGGGGTGAACTAACACTTTTAAGACTTCCATAATCAACTGTTAAAGAGATCATGATTTACTTATTTTTCACTTGTTCACAAATCCTTCTCAAAACCTGAGAGTTTTTCTTCTCTGATGATTTATTTTTTTCTTCTGATGAACAGAAAAGTAGATATTTTGAAAATTGCTGGTTGCTGGGACCCATCGTCTTCCATATTAGGAAAAACATATATCTAATTGAAGTTAATGGGTCCCAGCAACCAGAATTTTTTGTGTGTGTGTTTGTGTGTGTGTGTGTGTGTGTGTGTGTGTGTGTGTGTGTGTGTGTTCATCAGAAAAAAAGAAACTCAATGGTTTAAAACCACATGATGAAAAGTAAATAATAAGGAGATTTAACTTTAGGGGTAAACTAACCCTTTAATGTTCATTCATTCATTCATTCATTCATTCATTCATTCATTCATTCATTCATTCATTCATTCATTCATTCATTCATTTTCCTTCAACTTAGTTTGTTATTTATCAGATGTTGCCACAGCAGAATGAATCAACCATTATTCTGGCATATGTTTTATGCAGTGGATGCCCTTCCAACCGCAACCCAGCACTGGGAAACCTTTAACGCAGGGCTTAGGGACTGCGAGTGTATTCAATCTGGACCTGACTCCATTTCGTATTGCAAGACCATGCATAAAGGATTTTCCATCTATTTTATACATCTATTTCCATATGACTGAAGCAATTTCCTTCATTGATAAATGCATAAACCTTGTAAATCAACTGTTTAGTTGTTTGTATTTTTGAAAAATAAATAAATACATAAAAAAAGTAAAACTGGCTGCATTAAAACCAAAGGCAAAATATTCCAAACACTCCTGTGTGACTCTTTTTTCATGGCATCTAGTGATTGTAAAAGCCTTCAAGTGATCTGTCTCACGCAAAAGAAACTTGATGAAGAGATTAGACTGTTCAAAGTTGAATGGACAGTTAAGTATGCATTTATACTGTATTGCCACAAGCCAGCACAAAGCCATTCTGGGGTGCGTTTCCCAAAAGCATCGTTAGCCAACTAAGGTCACAAGTTCCGTCGTTAAAAACATAGTTTGATGATTTGCCGTTTCCCAAATCCGCCGCTCCAACAAAAATTCTCAAACTGCGTCGCAAACTTGAGCACTCGCAACTACAACGCTATAGCTGTAGTTAGAAACCTAGTTCCTGGCTGTGTTCTATTGCCAATTATCCCCCCTATGCCCTATTCATTTAGAACATTCTAACATTCAAAATTTGAATTATTAAAAATACTGCTTTAATCTGAATTTACGTTACATCTTCAAAGCTTGTGAAAACAAAAAGCACACGTTAATTATTTAAATTTATAGTGGGTTATTTATTAAGTATCTGTACTGTATATGACATGGGCCTGCTGGTTAGAACTTTCTGCAGTGAGTTACATGTGTCAAATTGTAAAAGTACTTTTAAAAATAATTAAAAAAAACAAATAAACAATTTCATAATAATAATATGATAATAATAATAATAATAATAATAATAATTATTATTATTATTATCATTATTATAATTATTAAAGTATGACTTTTTCTAATAAATAATACATATTAAATTTCATTTTATAATAAATAGCCTCATTATTTATGTTTATATGATTTATATGATATTAGAATACCTGTTAACTTTTGTGAAATGCTTTAGAATAGAATATGTAATGTTCAACTTCTCAATAATATTAGTATTAGAGTATAAGAGTAATATTAGAGTTCATGTTTTACCAAATCTAATATTAGATTTTATTTTAAATGTGTTTGCGTGTAAAACAATATAATTTGCACAAAGAAATTATGGGTTTTTCTCTAAAGAAGTAGTTACTCCACTCAGTTTAGAGCATCGTTATGGGTGTTTTATGTTATAACTAGCATGGTTCAAGCAATAGATCTGCGACAGAGAAACTAAGGGTTTTGAGAAACACTTGTCACTACATAGTTCTTTTCCCAAACGATGCATCGTACTATGATAGTTCAGCCGCAAGTTATTTGGGAAACACACCCCTGTTTGATTTGTAATGAGACAAGTGAAGTTGTAATAGTAGAAATGTGAAACACTATGAAACGAAACACTGACATTTTGAATGGGAGTATCCATAATATACAGATATAAGGACCACAAAACTACAACAGATAAAGTTTTCATTGCACACCTTTTGATATTTTCACTTTTTTAATGCCTACACATAACCCCACCCCTCACAGTCATGTCACTAGCTCCATTGAGTGCATTGTGTCTGACATTGAATCTTTGAGATATGCAATCTCAGCTTGCATCATCATGGCTGCATCCAGACACCTTTTGTTGTGTTTTGTACAAAAATGGACTTATATTTGTGATTTTGCCACATTTGCATTTGATTTAATGTGTTTTGATTGCAAATGCCACTTTATTTCAAGACAAATAAATAGTGTTGACTGCATGTTATCCATGTTTATTAAAATCAAGTTTTGTAACATCAATTGTTCCAGATCTTTAACCTTTAATACAGATTCAGATTTGGACCTTTTAATGTAGACATTAAAGAGAACCCCTTCTTTAACATTTAATTTTTCTCTTTTTTCAATTCTGTGCTGTAAACCAAAAGAAGAACTCACTTTTGTGGAGCTGAAGGATAGTGTAAGCCATGGCTGTCAGAACTTTCTCGCCTTCCAGGATAAAGATATCCCACAGACGTAAGGTCAAAGTGAATGGGGTCTGGAAAAGATGACATGTTTATAAATTAACCAAGAAAGGCAATTCTATACAAATGTCCTTATAGCATTATATGCAAAAAACAAATTCAGTTTTTTTTCTCAAACTCAGTTTTTTCTCACTCAACTGTGGCCCCTGTAAGTCTATAAAGCTAATCTCCTTCAACGAGGATCCTGCCAGTCCATAAGCACAGCTCTGAAACTGAGCAAACCGAATTCTACAGAGCTGACAGTGTCTGCTCTCTTTCCTTCTCAGCCAAACCCACAGGATTGTGTGTGTATGGACAGAGTAAACACTGAAACAGCCTTGTCTGCCTGCTAATTGCATACTGCCCTTTCTATCAAGAGGCCCTGACAAAGAACGAGAGAGGAAGAACTTTCTTTAAGCCTCTTTCCTTCAGTTTCTTAAACCCTAATTCCTCTTCGCCAACCTCAATCTATATTCCCATAATTTACAGTGCTGTATTGTGGCTGGTTATTAGCCATTTTCAAATGGTACCATGTTGCATATATCACCAGCTTGCACTACACCTAATGAGGTGTTTTAGATAAAATAATAAGCCGAATGTCAAAAACTACTGGTAAGAAATAGAGGAAAGTGGTGTACTGTGCCAAACAGAAACCAAAAACAGTCTGTTTGATTATTAATAATCAGGCTTTAGACATGGTCACTCTACCTCAACTGTTTCCCTCATGTAACCAAAGTGTATTTATCTGTCAGAGAGCGGTTCTTCAACTTCCCCCAAAAATTATCATGAAAACTATATTTGTCATGTATTTATATTGAATGTTTAACTGCATTGCATAGATTGTTTTAGTCTTAACTTAGACCTCGACTTCGAATAACACAATATAAATGTCCAGCATGAATGTGTCTACATCTAGATTGCCTCCCTTGCCTAATTAGAAAAAGTCTCATAATGTGGCATTGAACAGTATTTTGTATTTAGAGTTGAGTTAAAATAGAAACAGGAAGTCCCCTGTATGTGTATGTATGTATATATATATATATAAATATATATATATATATATATATATATATATATATATATATATATATATATATATATATAATAAAAAAAAATTATGTACATGTTTTATAGCTTTTCTACTGCATACTTCAGTAAGACACATATTTTATCTTATATTAAGCCATAAATCTTCATACCCAAGGTTTCTTTAAGGCCATGATACACTTCAAGTCAAATTGGATGAAATAAGACCAATTTAAAGCAGCTTTTTAGTTCCCCTTCGGGGGGAACTTCAGCACTATAAGTGGATTTGATTTGTAAAATCCACGCATTGGGAGGATTCGGATCAGAAGCCGCTTGTCTGGAGAGTATTGAACGGGCCAATGAATGAAATTAATTGGCAGCGTAAGCTTGCGCAGGTGTGCGACATCTGCAATTATCTCAGCATATAAGCACACCTGAAGCCAGCAGACGCCATCCTTTTCGCTTCAGATCCTTTCTGAGTGAGTCGATGCTGATCAGCACTTCAGAGCGAACGAGTGTGTCTCCCGGTCCAGAGTGGGTCTTCGCGGTGGCAGACGGTCGAGCTGGGTTACTCCCTTGCCTGCGGTTCTTTGGGTCCGGTCCTCCAGAGCGGTGCGTATAGTTGCAACTTTCCTAAAAGAGCAACACAGTCGTGCAGCACGTCCTTTTCAGGATGGCGCTCCGACTGTGCGTTTCTGGATGCGGGGGTTTCCTGGCTCCGGATGATGGACACGATCACTGCATTGCATGTTTGGGGGTCCAGCATGTTAATGCGGTGCTCGCGGGCGGTTCATGTCGTCATTGCGATGCCATGACCGTTGCACAGCTAAGATCGCGGCTAACTTTCGCAAGAGAGCGAGCCACCCCAGTTGCCTCCTGTTCTAAAAAAGCAGCGGGCGCTCGGGCAGATCTGAGGGTTTCAGCGGGAGATAATCCGCCGCCCACGGGCTCGCGGACCTCTCGCTCCTCACGGCGCTCCATCCAAGCTTCGGGTGGTGAGAGTGATCCGTCTAACCAGATGGTAGCTCTCACACTCGCTGACACCGGAGATCAGATGTCCTCCGTGGCATCGGAGGGTGGGCTTTCACTGTCCGACGAAGATCCGGACCCGCTCGCCCCCTCCGGGCAGGTGAGCGCTGTCAAATCGGATCCTGAAGCGGACATGTTAGCCGTGCTTTCCCGGGCTGCTTCGGCCGTGGGGTTGGAGATGGTTTATCCCCCAGCTCCGCGGCCGGACCGACTAGATGGGTGCTACGTAGAGGACCAGAAGGCGAAGCCTTCGAAGCCTCTCGTCCCCTTCTTCCCGGAAGTGCACAGTAGGCTCACGCAGTCTTGGAGGGCACCTTTCTCTGCCCGTGCTGCGTGTGCCTCCGCCCTCACCGCCCTTGACGGCGGAGCTGCCAGGGGGTATGAGGCGATCCCGTCAGTGGAGCGCGCTATCGCGGTCAATCTTTGTCCGCGCGGCGCCTCTACGTGGCGGGGTTTGCCCCGCCTCCCGTCCAAAGCCTGTAGGTTGTCTGCCTCCCTCGGAGCCAGAGCTTATAAGGCTGCGGGCCAGGCTGCTTCTGCTTTGCACGCGATGGCCACCTACCAGCGCTACCAAGCGCAGGCGCTGGCCGAGCTGCACGAGGGCGGGTCCAACCCAAGCTTATTACATGAGCTGCGCACCGCGACCGACTATGCTCTTCGGACTACTAAGTCCGCCGCGTGTGCGCTGGGGAGGACGATGTCCACACTTGTGGTTCAGGAACGCCACCTCTGGCTAAACCTGGCCGATATGCGCGACGTTGACAAAGTTCGCTTTCTTGACCCGCCCATATCCCAGGCTGGCCTGTTCGGCGACACCGTCGGTGAATTCACCCAGGAATTCAAGGCGGTGAAAGAGCAGTCGGATGCGATGGGCAATGTCATCTATCGGCGTGGCCGTAAGCCCGCTCCGCCCGCCGAGCCATCCACCTCCGCTGTTCCTCGCCGAGGGCGCCCGCCAACGAGTGCTGCCCCGCCCCCGCCTGCGCCTCCGGCCAAGCGGGCGCGGCGTTCACCTCGAAAGCAGGCAGCCCCTCCTGCCCAGGGCGCCGTTAAGTCCGGTAAACGGACCGCGAAGCGTCCCTGAGACAGGCCATCCGGAGAAGAGGAAACTTGCTCTTTCCCCGCTGGAGGGCGGGGCCCCGATAACAACGGTACTTTTCAGTGCCACCAAAACATCAGTAAAAGAGCACTTTTTCCCTTCCCCGGATGTGACTGCACGAGTTCTGCCAGTCCGGGACGCGCTGCCTTCCGGCTCGCAGACTCTACGTGCTTCGCCAGTGGCTCACGAGCGCTGGGGGGACGGTCTCCCTTCCCTCAGCCCTCCAGCCCCCTCTCCGGAGTCAGGGTGCGGAGCCAAAGCGAATCGCTCTCCTCCAGCTCTTCCGCGGGACCCTCGTGCTTCCCGGATCAGCACACCCACTCCGCGCTGCCCCACCGCTGGTACGTCAGCGATTGTAGCGATGACTCCATTAGCGAGGGCTCTGCCTGCCTGGTTAGCGCGGGCCAGCCCCTCGCGGTGGCTCATACGCACAATCAGACTCGGTTACGCGATTCAGTTCGCGAAACGGCCCCCAAAGTTTACGGGCGTGTATTTCTCCAGGGTCAGCCCCCTGTCCGCCCCTGTCTTGCGAGAGGAGATTGCTGCCCTCCTGGCGAAGGGTGCAATCGAGCCGGTTCCTCCAGCCGAGATGGAGAGTGGGTTTTACAGCCCATACTTCATCGTACCCAAAAAGAGCGGTGGGTCACGGCCAATCCTAGATCTGCGCGTTTTGAACCGCTGTCTGCACAGGCTGCCGTTCAGAATGCTCACGCAGAGGCGCATTCTCCAATGCGTTCGTCCTCGGGATTGGTTTGCAGCCATAGACCTGAAGGACGCGTATTTCCATGTCTCCATTCTTCCACGCCACCGCCAATTTCTGCGGTTTGCGTTCGAGGGTCGAGCATGGCAGTACAAGGTCCTCCCCTTCGGGCTCTCTCTGTCTCCGCGGGTCTTCACCAAACTCGCGGAGGGTGCCCTAGCGCCCCTTCGGCTCGCGGGCATTCGCATACTCAATTATCTCGACGACTGGCTGATTTTAGCCCACTCGCGGGAGCAATTGATTATGCACAGGGACAAGGTGCTTCGGCATCTCCGCCTACTGGGGCTTCAGGTCAACCGAGAAAAGAGCAAACTCGCCCCCGTGCAGAGGATTTCTTTTCTCGGGATGGAGCTGGACTCGATCACCATGGTAGCGCACCTCTCCGAGGAACGCGCTCGCCTGTTGCTGAACTGTCTGAGGGAGCTCGACAGCAAACTAGTGGTCCCACTGAAGTTCTTTCAGAGGCTCCTGGGGCATATGGCATCCGCAGCCGCCGTCACGCCGCTCGGGTTGCTCCATATGAGACCACTTCAGCACTGGCTTCACGATCGGGTCCCCAGACGCGCATGGCACGCGGGCACACACCGGGTCTCGGTTACTGCGCTGTGTCGCCGCGCCCTCAGCCCTTGGAACGACCCCTCGTTCCTACAGGCCGGTGTGCCTCTAGGACAGGCGTCCAGCCATGTTGTTGTTTCAACAGACGCTTCCAACACGGGTTGGGGGGCCGTGTGTCGCGGGCATGCGGCTGCGGGCCTCTGGAAGGGTGCCCAGCTGCATTGGCATATCAATCGCCTAGAGCTGTGGGCAGTGTTCCTCGCTCTCCACCGCTTTTTACCGGTGCTGGAGCGGCAACACGTGCTGGTCAGGACGGACAGTACGGCGGCGGCGGCGTATATCAACCGCATGGGGGGTATGCGCTCTCGCCGCATGTCTCAGCTCGCCCGCCGTCTGCTCCTCTGGAGTCACCCGCGGCTGAAATCGCTGCGCGCCATTCACGTCCCAGGCACGCTCAATCGTGCAGCCGATGCGCTCTCACGACAGCTGTTACGCCCTGGAGAATGGAGACTCCACCCCGAGTCTGTTCAGCTGATATGGGCGCGATTCGGGGAGGCCCAGATCGA